GCACCCCCCCCCCCCCATTTGCAAACACCCTGCTCAGATGATGGGTGTCAACAAGTTTCTTGGGCTTTGAAGCACGCTCAGCACGGCGTAAAAAAAAGCGGGGGGGTTGGGGGGGGGCGCAACCCCCCCATTTGCAAACACAATGCTCACACGATGTTTTTCAACTAGTTTCTTGGGCTTCGAAGCACGCTTCCTTTATTCCTTCCTTGCTTCCTTCCTTTCTTCCTTCCTTTCTTCCTTCCTTGCTTCCTTCCCCTTTCCTTCCCTCCTTTCTTCCTTCCTTCCTTGTTTTCTTCCTTTCTTTCATCCTTCCTTCCTTCCTTTCTTTCCTTCTTTCCTTCTAAAACCTACCAGAAATAACGCTTTCCTATGAAACCACAGAGAAATTACTGTTTTTCGTAGGAAAAACCACGAAAATGCATCAAATCCTTTAAAAATATGGAGGGAATGGTGGTTTTCTTAGGAAAAACCAAGAAAAGCGACAAAAAAAAAGACCCCCCCCAAAAAAAAAAGACCCAAAAAATAGGCCCTCCATCTATTACTGTATCATCTATTCATCGTCAGGAAGATGCGCGCAAGCGCCGGAGTGTCGCGGCACAGGAGCCGGCTGCTCGGTGTATCGGTCACAGAAGCGCAGCGACAGATGTGAAGGTAGCCACCTGCACCCTGCTGTACATTGTCTCCAAATGTTCAGGGTGAGCGTGGTCTGCAAATTCCTGGCCTTGTAAGTTTTCTTGCATTCGAAGTGTGTATTCGGAGCTTTCTTGGTGAAAAGCACGTCCTACGTCCTGCGTCCAGCCGGCGATCTGAGGCTCGGCGCTGCTTCCGGCTGCGGAGCTCAGACCGGAAATGCCCAGGCTACAAGGTTTCCAGGAACGGCGTGCACGTAGCCTGGACAACGAGATTTAGAGGCTTCGGTACTTGGGTGACTAGGTGACTGGGCCAGTTCAAAAACGACACTGAGCTCGTGTCTTTGAACAGTCCTTAAACGTCGGACAAGGCCGAGACGTGAAGGTCTTCATCTTGGCGGGACAGCTGGGCCAGGTTTTGGCCCTCAGCTTTTAAGCTTCCAGAGGAACGCTTGAGCGACCGGCGCAATGAACAGAATGAGCAGGGGGCTGGTTGGTGCTGTTCCCTTCGGGCACAAGCGCAGGTCTTCTGCGCCAAAGCGCTTCAAACATCTCCGGATCGTGCAAGCATGTCACCTTTGTGCATCTTGAACTCTTGAGCCTACAGTACACTCGTTGCCTGTAAAGCGTTTCCTTGCTTCGAGGTCTTGTCACATCATGCTGAGCTCTTCCTGCTGGGATGTGGTGAAGGCACCAAGAGGCTCATGACACTGTCGCTTTGGTTACTCGCCTTGGACACCTTGGAGGGTACGCCTGCAGGCCGCTTCGAATCGCTGCTTTGCCTGGTGCCTTTGGCTCACGCCAGACTCCTAGCGGTCCTAGCGACAAGCGGCAAAATGGCTGCTTTGCTGCTTTGCCGCCCTTTCAACCCTTTCCCTTCCACTGATTGTGCCCAGGCTCCAACGACTCGGGCTGTGCGCTTTGCTGTGGCACGGGAGACGCCCCTCGGAGCCCTCCAAGAGGTCTCGGGGCGAATTGCTTGCGCCACACCATCACTCCCGATGCTGTCTGATCTGGCCAGGTCTGGCAGGAAGTGGCCATGGTGGAGCTCCCAAGGCCTGCAGCAGTCATCTGTGCCAGCAGAACAGACTCTACAACGTCTCTGAAGGCTCTTTCAGCTGTCCGTGCGAAACGGTGGGGCAGGACCTCCTTGCACACGCTTGGCCTTGGCCAGCCTGACAATGGGCCAAACTTCTTGGAGCAAGGTAGTGAAGAATGAGGGCACATCTGTCTGCTGCTTTCACAGGATGTCGTTATGGGTGGAGAGAGCCTTGCTCATAAGGTCCCGAATAGATATCACCCGCTGCAAGATTCAGGACTAGCGCTGCCGGGAAAGGAGAAGTTCTTGGTTGAGGAGAGATGGGTCTTGAGTACATGTTGGACTTACTCTGCTGTCCGGCCTGTGACACAGTTTCTGACACATCACGGATTGGTAGCTGAGCGCACGTCCTGGCAGCCTCTGTGGCATGTCTCGCCCTACTAATCCAGATCAACTCTCAGGTTGACAAAGGCATCCTCACGAAACTCGGTGCATGTATGCCTGGCGATGCATGCAACGCACGCGTCCTTGCCTCCTTGCGACCGTGGGCATTTGGCTTGGGCGTTAGCCGCTGATACTGCCCGTTGTGGTGCTGGTGGCATTCTGTACCTTGGTTGGAAGATCAGATGGGCACCAGCAGTCCAACTCCATCCAACTCACAGGTTCTTTTCTCGCAGGGAACAACATCATTGCTGCTAGTGCACGCTAAAGATACTTGTATGTACCTTGGTTCGACCAGCTCGAGCTGTGCATCATGCTCCGCGTGAAGGCTCAAAGCCTCTCACTTTTCGCGCACAGGAACCGTTTCCTTCAAGCGACATGCCGTGTGGCACTCTGATTGCCGCACTGGTCGTCGGGGCAGCGGCTACTTGGTCCATAAAGTAGCCTGCCCCAGTTTCAGCTGCGCTTTTCGTGTTCTGAGGGCACTGCATGCCGACCCTTTCCTTTGAGAAGCCCATGAGGCGAGCTGCCCCACAGGCGGCTGCAAAGCAACTTCCAGAAATTCAGGTCCCCTGCTTCTCCAGGCGCGTTTTGGCTATTTGATGGTGAGCACTGGCAGGATGACTTTGCAGTTGCAGAAGCCGAAGGGGATTGGGCTGGAACCGTCCTGCCGTTGGCAGCCTCTAGTATCTCGCTTCATGGTTGCTTCCAGGTGGGCGGCCAGGAGCTGCGCCGGCTAGAGGTGGCGCCAGTGGCCTCTTGGGTTGCAAGCGCTTACGAGGACTCGGTTCGCATCCCTGCGACAGCAGTTCCTGCAAGGGCCTGCAAGATGAGTGTACAAAAGGGTACTGATTCTGTGCAACAGTGGTGTGAGCTTGGCATCGCAGGACTGTCGTGTAGTAGAGCGTGGCAGTCGTCCGCGAAAAGAACGCTTGGCCTTCCAGCACCGCCGCTCTGTTAGCAGTTGGTGGCATTTGCAATCACTCGTCAGCATGTGCAAGCACCCGGTGCGCTCGTGCCATCACTTTGACGTGTGGCGGTGTGGATTCTGGAGGTCAAGTGCGCTGCGAGTCTGCCAGGGACGGCAGTGAGTTGCCAGATGCTTCCTGCGCAGGTGGACTTGGTTTAGGTCGTCCAGACATTCATGGTGTCATGTGTTTTCACGAGATGCTGCTGCCGGTCACAGCCCCTGCTTAAGACTTTGAAGACTTCATGGATTCGCTACGCCGCTACTCGCATCTGCTCGCTATGGGTCATGCCGAGTCGTCAGCTCTTCACTCGGCTTGGCTACGTGTGCAGGCCTTCCTCCCCCTCGCCGCTGGCGACGCTGTGATTGCGGTGTCGTACTTTGCAAGCCTGGCGGGCAGGAAGAAGGCAGGGGACAGACAAAGAGCTTCCAAGTTTTGAAATCTTGGCTGCCAGTGTCTGGCAGCATTTGCAAGATGAGCTGTGGTATATGTGCTGTCCTCGCATGACAGCTCGCGCGCTGACAGGCGACTTCGAGCGCGAGCGATGGTCGGAGCTGGGTGCAGTGGCCTCCGGCAGCCGAGGGCTAAGACGAGACCACAGCGTTTTGAGGCGCTGACAATTGAGCGAATTGGCCCATTGGCCAAAAAACATTGAGAGTATTGAGAGTTCTTGACCACCTTCAGCCGCGCCAGAACAGGCTGACGGCACAGTCAGAGGAAGTTAGATCAGCGCAGCAACAAAGCGAAATACAGAGGAGCGCATAAAATGAGACATTAGAGGACCTGCCAGCAGACCTCTGCCAGACTTTGGCAAGCCATGGCTTCGGCGACGGCGTCCACCGAGATACGCATCGCGCTGGTCAGCGGAAAAACCTGCGTCATCTCGGCAACCCCTGACACGCCGATCCAGTGGGTGCCCAGGTCAGCAATGCCCCCTGCCTGCGCGCACGTCTGGCTAGCGAAGTCCCGCCTATCTCAACATGTTTACAGGCGATCGCGAGGCATTGCCTCACCTCCATGTTTGATCGACTGGTCGCCCAGCCCTCCCAAGCTCTGAAGTCAAACCTCAGCAGCCCAACAATAAGCTCACAGCATAGGTGCGGCAAAAGGCTCAGCAGGAGTTGCGAGTGGCCATCAGCGCCTCAGCTTCCAACAAGTGGTGCAGGGGCCTTGGGGCATGCGTTACAGGGGGTTGTGCAGGGACGCGTCTGGCGTTCTCAGGCCTAAACTTTCAAGGCTTTGGGCTAGTGTCAGGCAGAGCCAACGAGTGCGGCTGGGCATGTCAGACTTGCTCAGGTGCACTCATCACAGGGGGTGGCCAGACGGTGAAGGGATCCACCACCATCCGAGAAGTGGGCCTCCAAAATGGCGACACTCTCCATGCCACTGTAGGGAAGGAGTGCGCCGATGCAAAAAGCTGGTACGCAAAGGCTTTACGACGATTTCCTTACAGACCTGGAGTCTGGACCTAGCTCGTATGGGACTGGGCCTGTCAGTGAATTAGTATCCAGTTGAGCCTTGCATTTTGTTTGTGATGTCGCGCACAGGACGCCCTTTACTCCAGCCGATGTTCTTCAGCCTTTGCATTCGTGCGCGTTGATGGCTCGGTCGTGACATGGGGCGATGCTGTGCTGGGCGGCGACAGCTCTGCTGCCCTTTGGAGGCAGCAAGGGTTGCCTAATTTTTCAAGGGTTGCACCCCTTAAGGCTTCCCTTAATATTCTCCTAATATGGCCCGTTTATTCCCTTAGGGAGCTTCAAAAAGGGGCCCCAAAAGCCCAGGGTACAACCTTAAGGGTCCAAGGTACAATCCCTAGATTTGTTGCATCAACATCCAAGTAGCAAACATGTGCATGACATCGGCAGGGCTTCCGCGTTTCGCTTGCGCTAAGTATATCCCTGTCGCACGACCGACGAAATTGTTCACCAGTTGCTATGCTACCTCGGAGTTGCTCTTTTGTATTCGGCCCTCATTGAGTTCCTTCGGGGTGTCCTGTGCTGCATAAGAAGAAGAAGCCGTAGACTCTGACGTCGCCCACACTCCCAGAGTCACCATAGAGGGGGCGTGCGCCAAACTAAAGCATGTCCTTAGATTCTCGTCGTACGCCTGTGGCGAACGGCGAGCAAGTCCCTCCTGACAGAGGCCTGTGCTGCATGCCTGCGTGCAACAAGAGTTTTCCGATTCAGATTCTCAGCCAGTACTGTTCGAGGCGTCGGATGTCAATGCATGAGCACTAGGCTTGACAGCACTGGTCTGCGTGGAGCCTTGCAAAGATGCGGCAGTTAAGTTCTGCGCAAACTTCTAGACACGTGGCCGAAACAAGCAACCCGGCCCTCCCATTCTCTGCAAGTGGAGCCACAACTTGCGCCTTTCAGCAAAGCACCGTGACTCCCGACTCCTCTGAACAACCTTGAGCTTCAAACTTGCAGAGCACAACAAGCCTAACACGTGCACAAGCAAGCAAAGCGTAAATGCCACACCCACTGCGTAGCTTGACGTTTGGATTTTTGCACGGGACGTACGGGACGTAGGCACATGTCAGAATGCCTGGAAGCAATAGCTTTCATGGCGGCGAAAGCTGCCCATGCCTCACTCGAAGCTTATGAGAACATCTGCGGGAGAAGCTCTTTAGACAAGAGTCAATCTTCTGGCTCTTCCTCACTTCATGTTTCGGGCGGATCTACTCGCCCATTGAACGCTTTGGGACACCGAGAGCGCTCATCAAGAGTTGGCCATCCCCGGGCAAAACCGCGATAGGTTGGAATGATTTCGCCCGTCTCTTAGGTCTCCTCGCAGCTACGGGAAGTCAAGGAGGCACGGAATTCTTTTCCTCCGGGAGAGGACTGTGTGTTGTCCGACATGTGTGGTGGCGAATGATCTGCATGGGCGAAGCAAAGCACGGCTTGTGCATGCAGAGCCATAAACCTCCAATCCCTCAAAATCTCCAAATAAATCCCTAGAATCTCTAAAGTCACCAAAGTCCCTCAACCCGAAGGCTTAATGTGGGGGTGGTTTTACTACACCATCCACCACATTCTGCTACTGCCAGGTCTTCGCCTCCACGGGAGCCTTTGCCGCCCTCCGAGTGGACGGCTCGGTGGTGACCTGGGGCGATCCGCTCTATGGTGGGGACAGCAGCACTTCGGCAGGGTTTGGAGGGAGTCGAGGGGGTTTAGGGGGTTTAGGGTTTAGGGCCTGGTTTAGGGTTTGGCTGTGGCTTGAGCATGAGCTGTCGGTGCTCTGAGGTGCCGTTCAGCAGCAGCTGCGACAAGTGGAGCACGTACATTCATCTGCCCACGCCTTTGCTGCGATCCAGCGGAATGGCATCGTAATCACCTGGGGCAATGCCTTGTTCGGGGGTGACAGCAGCGCCGTTCGCGATCAGCTGAAGGACGTCGTATCGGTTGACGGCTTTGCAAGAGCCTTTGCCGCGTTGAGGACGGATGGAGCTGTCATCACGTGGGGAGACATGGACTGCGGCGGCGACATGTCAGAACTTGCTCCTGTTCGCAGTAGCTTGTGGACGCCAGGGAATAGGCAGCAAGCTTTCGTGCATCTTCGTGCACTCGCTGAGTGCTTGTGTTGGATTCCTCCTCTTCCCGTAATCCTGGGGGTAGCTTCGCAGGTGCATGCAACATAATCATTCAACGGTCAATTAGAGGAACCAGGTCTTCGTTGCTTCTCTGAAACGGCTGTTTTGTGCGAGTGAGGCGACAGCTCCGCGGTCCAGTATCAACTGAGGGAAGTGAAGCAGATGGAGGCTACAAGCTTTGCGTTTGCGGCATTGCGGGGGGATGGTGGCGTGGTCACATGGGGAGATCCAACCTGTGGAGGAGACAGCACTGCCGTGCGGGAGATGCTTAATGCGCAGGTTGTGCAAGTGTGCGCTACGTCACACGCTTTTGC